ATTCCTGTGTGTGGGGATTTAATGAGCTAATGTGAGCACAGGGTAGATGTCAATCAATAAAAGTCATCAGCATTACGGACTTAATCAAAATCTATGAATTACACTTATTTTATACCCATTCATCTGCGTTGACTGGCTGGTTAAATTAATTAATGAACAGAGAAATGAATGATTGGCTCTAGGATCCTGTAGGGGGAGAAGACTACATAGAATGAAGCAACAGATTGAGTCGGCAACTGAGAGGTTCGCTTTGCTTTAAGCAGCTAGCAGGGCCTGGCTTGGGTTAAGCAGCTCTCAGACAACCAATCACATCTCTGAAATGTCTGCCTTTGAAGTCTGAGCATGGGGGGTGGTGCTCAAATGTGGGCAGGAAATACATATCTAAATTACAAATACAGTTCAGTAATTATGACAGCCACTCTAGCTGATGAGAGGGGCGACTGACTTTTCTCAAGCTCTAAGGGGCTGTTGTCTGCCAGAGTGATGCTTGCCAGGGTTTTTGGAGGGCGCAGAAGCATCTCATCCCAATGCAAGCTCTGTAAAATGTAATGTTCCACCCTTGTCTTCTCAAAGTATGGCTACTGTCATGTTTGTAACAACAACTTCCAATTTACTGAGAGCAGTGAGTGTGGAAACTGCCCTTCTCATCAGGCTTCTGGGAAATGAGCTGGAAGAGGCTAGCCAGGAAGGGCCAGGGGTGACAGGTACGATGGTGGAAGGGCCTGGGGCTCTTCCTGTCCTAAGACAGTGTTTTCAGGGAGTGGGTCTGGCAAATGCACCCCATCTTATATTCAGATCTGAATGATGAGGACAGGAATGAAAGATTAGCTTTGATCAGATGCTTTGAGTGTGAGAGGGGAGACAAATGTCCTGCTTATTGGATTTTGTTGCTATTAATTCAAGCTATCCAAGAATTAAGATCAACCACTCTCTGGTTTAGGATTTGGGCACAGAGAGAAGAGAGGTAGGCAGTGGTGGATACAAAGTCTGAGTCACAGAATCTATGAGATGAATGAGAATGTAAAGGTGATCTCAGCCAATGCATTATTTTGTCTGCCAAAATATATTATCCAGTGAACCTACTGAATGACCAAGGATCAGAAGAACTATGGTTTAGGAGAAGAAGGGGTTGCTCAATTGAAAACCCTCGACTCCTGGGACACACAGCCTCTTCTGGCCAGAACACAAACTGGTGTGCATTGCATAAGCAGCTGAAGCTCCTTGGAGAGGGACAAGTACTTTGTCTCTGAAGGGCTGTGGCTCCTCCACTGACATGTGTTTGCTGTTTGCAGGCCACTAGACTAAGAATTTGAAATTTTCCTTCATAAATAAATATGTGTAAAATTTACACAGGCATCCAATCCAGTGGGGACGGCATATCCACATCTATCAGGAATTCACTTTCCTGCCAGAGTGCAGTGATGTTCTGATAGACACCAGGGAACTGCACACACTGAAATGAAGCAGCACCTTGGTTCCCACCAAACAAATAAATCCTGCACTCTCTTGGGAGTTGGTTGATGATTTATTTTCTTCCAGCCCATCATTTTAATATTTCAGAATGCTTAAGCTAGCTCAAAACACTGCTGCAGAATATCTTCCAAAATGGAAGAGGAAAAGTGTGGTCCCTACCCAGGAGTGTCAGTTCCCTGGGAGGCAATTCAAACCAGTTTCAAATAAGAGTATAATCAGCACCTTCGATCTAGGAAGGTATTAGAAAAGAGTTCTCACTTCAGTCTGTAGGGCTTTTAAAGAGATCAAGTAAAATAAAGTAGAGGAAATAAGTGTCACGTACAAAACATCATCATAGCAAAAGCAGGCTTCACCCATTGTCACTGTTCCTAGGGGCGTGTAACACACTGATATTTGCAAATTTATTAAGTGTCTACTTTGTAGCAGGTAATATGTACAGATGTTGAAGGAAGAAGACCTAATTTATGCCCTGGAGGCTTCATTCAATTTAGAAAGACATAATATAACATTAAGACTCAGGCAATTTAAAGATGTCACAAAAATGTCTAGACACCCGTGGGATAGTGAGTCATACACTGTACCATGGTGCTTAGCACACACTCCACATTCTTTTGCTTTTTTTTTTTTTTTCTTTTTAAAACCGTCCCATTTGCTTTAGCCACCATGGAAGCTCTTGGCTGTAACATGGTGCTGTCAAAAATAGAGCCAATCGAGGAGTTGAAGCCAAAGCTAGTGGGATTCTTGTCAAAGGTGAATTGCCAGGCCCTTCCCAGCCATCCTGCCCTCTGTCTGGAGGTTCTGGCCAACAGCAGTGTGTCAGGGCATGGGGTTTAGTGGGAGAAGAGAAGAGGTTTGAGGCTGGGTGTGAGAGTGAGAAGGTCACTGCAGACTGAGGCTTGGGAGAAATTTTACCTGCTGGTCTCTATTTGCTGATTGTCAACTGTGAGACTTTGTTCCTACATTCTATCTGCATACTCAAGAGATTCTTAGGGTCTTAATGCATAAGCTGTACCTGAGGGAAACTGGAGTAGTCCTTTCTAAATTATGTGAGAGGAAGGGCATCTAGCATTTGTGAGGAAGAATTTGTAGTGAACTGGAACCAGCCCAGGTGGCCACTGAATCTGGTCTAATGGGTCTGGGTTGTCATTAGAACAGTAATGGAATTGGAAACATAAAGACCTGTCCATTTCAGGCCTCAGCATCCAAGGAAACAGGATAAATTTCAAGCAAAATACTTGGAATGTTAACACAGATCACAGAGATCCACTGAATATAGGAGGAACAGAAGGTTTGGATGTCTCCCCTTAGTGCTGCCCTTCCCCTCATGCACTCTCTACCTCTGCTGTTTGACAGCTGTCTTTACATCAGTGAGCCTCAAGGTCCTGTCTGGCTGGTTACCCAAAGCCTTAGGCCCAGTCCTGCTCCCTATGGTATTCTGCACTGCAGGCTGTCATGCATCTTCACAGAGACCTCAGGCTTCAGTGATGCGGGATGTGGCTGCCCCAAATCTCTCCTTCTTAGCCTGGGGAGGAAGAGTCAGTGTACCCCAAGAGACTTTCTGAGGTGACCCACTTATTGTGTCTCTGCATATCCAACTCCAGTCACTTCCTACAAGGCCATCTGACCCCTAACCCGACCCTGGGCAGAGTTTGTCTTTGAAAAACTTGTTCTTTGGTGAAGAGGTTGGTCTCTTCCTCAACTGGGAGGGATTGTGCTTGTGAAGGTTAATTTTGATTGTCAACTGGAGTAGCTGGACAGACTCCTAGTAGATTAGTAAAACACACTTCTGGCTGTGACCCTGAAGACTATATCTGGCCCCTGGCCCCTTCTTCTGTAGCACTATTTCTCTGTGCTGTGCTTCCTGGTCACAATGAAGTGAGTGGCTTTGTGCCACCATATCCTTCTGCCATGATGTTCCTGCCTTGGAACCAGCTCACCATGGACTAAATCCTCTGAAACCATGAGCTAAGAATAAGCCACTCCTCTTTTCAATGATGGGTGTCATGTATTTTGTCTCAGCAATGGAAAAGTGGACTGATACATTGCTTTAAGACTGGCCAGCTCTGTTTCATCATAATCATTGGCAGTGCCAGGCATGTATCTCATATAATTCTCAAAACCAAACCAGCAAATACATTGAAGTCATTCGTTCATGTAACAAATGTTAGTGAGGGCCTGCTGTGTGTCTGACGTTATTGAAAGGGCTTTGCATACATTACTATGAAGATCTCTGCTTGGGTAGGGGCTGATATTATAGGGCAGAGGTAGCCAGAGGGAAGTGAAGAATAAAAACATTAAGAAAACTGTATTTCTTAGGCCATTCCACCTTATTCTGCATGCCCTCCAGGGTCATTTATCTGCACATTTAGTCAATATTATTAGAAACACACTATGGTCCAGGCACTGTCTTAGGCATTAGAAGACAAGGCCTAGTTTATCAGATTTTGTAAAATTTAGAAAACGTGGCTCTCATTTCAGTGACAGACTGAGGGTCTGGAGACATAAAGTGTTTGCTAGAGAGAGTGTGACTACAGCAGGTTCAGGAGGAGGGCAAAGCGGGAGGAGGAGGCCGTAAGGAGCAGCCAGCACAGACAGGACCTCGTGTTTTTTGCTGCCCACAGCAGCCTTCTTCCACCTACTCCCCCATGCAGACCTTTAGGTCTTTGATCCAGGACCTATCACATTGTATCATCCACCCTGGCCGTGCCTGCTCACCTCTTGCAATTGAGTAAAGAAAGCCCTTTTAGGGAGCTGGAGGAGTCCCTGCTCCTTTCTGCAGCTACAGATATCAGCTGACTTTGAGCTCTGAGCTTACTATTTGTCGTGACTTTAGAAAGAACATTGCTTCCCTAGGGGCAGTGTGGCCCTCTCAGGCATTTGTGCAGGGACATTGTCTGGCTGCAGGGAACAAGCATTAAACTGTGCAGAGATAAATCACTCGGGTGAGCCAAGTCTCAAAGGTTGATACTTTTGGATTACTTTGTCCAAGGCAGAAATGCCTGGCTTGTTTGCTGATCAAAGGACTCGGGACAAGTTGTGCTATGAGTTATCAGGTTAAATATATATATATATATATACTCTCCTAATCAACTGGGAAGCTGGGTCAGGAGGAAGTTGGTAAGAGCCATGGAGAGGGAAAGGAATGTGATAGTACAGGGTGTGATGGTAAATTCATCCAGAAATAGAAGCATTTTTTTCTCTGTGTGTAACTGTAAACTCTAGCCCGTGACAGGGTTGCTTCTCCAGGTAGGACTGCAGGATGCGAAGGTCCCAAACAGGTCCTGTAGCCTTGATTGTGATGAGAAGTTGCCATGATAGTGGGAAAAAGCATAAAGACAGGATTCAGGGGTTCATCTCAGGACTTGGCACCTGAAGCTGGACACAATGGAACATGCCTGTAATCCCAGCACTTAGGGAGGCCAAGGAAGGAGGATCATAAGTTTAAGTTCAGCCTGAACAAGCTAGCTACTCTCAGCCAACTCTAACACCATGGGTCACCAGGGATTGGATGTGGCTCTTAGACTCACCAGCAGGAATAGGGGCATCTCTTGCTATAGCGACAGCAGTAAAATTGCCACTCCCGATCCAGCACTGACTCGAAGTACTGGCTCTGGAAGCCCGCCACCAGTCCATTGTTGGAACACGTCTGGTACCTGCAGAGAAAAAGACAGTCCCCAGGAACCTGAGACACTGATACATGACAGACCCCACCTGCCACAGTCACACTGCTTCCCTGACCTAGATTCCTAATAACATTGCACTTGAAAATATAACAATGGACTTTGCTATACTTGTGGAAATGACATATGCTCACTATTAAAATTCAGATGAGTGAGTCAGAATTTTTCAACAGAATTTTTCCTGGTATACTTCTATGAATATATAGTTAGAGGAAAGAATACATAAAGGGGTGGTTATGATTATCACAAATACAGAAGCCCATGTTATTCATGCCATTTAAAATAAAACAATTGCCACATGTGGTGGCACATGCCTGTAATCCCAGCACATGGGAGGCTGAGGCAGGAGGATCACTGTGAGTTTGAGGCCAGCCTGGGCTACAAAGTGAGTTCAAGGTCAGCCCAAACTGCATAGTGAAACCCTGTCTCAAAAAGACAAAAGAAATAAAGTAAAACAAAACAATATACATTTTAAAATTGAATTTAAAATGAAAAGAGGACAAAGGGAAATATTATAAATTGGTGAAAGTCAGACAAACATTTCAGTCGCCCCAGTAGAGCCCATGAAACCAAGATGGGCATCGTGATTTTTCCAGGGCAACCCAGTGCAAAGGCTGGTGCCACACCCCAGGATCTCACCATTACCCAGCAACCTTTCTACCACCCATCAGACCACAAGCTCCACAGGTTCTCAGAACTCCATCCCCAGCACCTGCAGAAGGCCCTGGGGTATGGGGCATTTCTCACAGAGTAGCAAGAGGGGTCTCTATCATGCTATAACGTCATCTAAATCCTCAGATACAGTAACTTCTGCACTCTGGTCCACCATCCAGAAGAAAGTTTTCATCTTCATTCTTCCTATGCTGCTGCAGGTAGTCTGGGAATCAGCCCCTTTCATCTTTACAGCACTTTGCTAAGGAAGTATTGGCTCAGAACAGTTCAGTCATTTCTTCCTTTTTTCCATCTCCAGTACTTCTGTCTCCAATTCTCCAAACCCCACAGTAAGGTTTACTATCTTCTGCTAAGTAAGGAACATGCTGTTTTCTCCTTGGACATGATAGGCTTCCACTGTATGCAGAATGCAATGTTTTACAAAATACCTTAGTTTCCTCCCTATTGCTAGAAGTGAATAGCAGAGCGATTTATAAAAAAATGGAGGTTTACTTAGTTCATGGTGCTGGGGGCTCAGAAACCCAAGAGCATGGTGCTGGCATCTATCACAGACCTTCTTGCTGCATAACATAGTGGAAGTTATCACGGAGCTAGATGAGCAATTGTGCTAGTTTGGATCACTCTTTCTCTTCTTGTAAAGCCTCAAATACTAGCCACTAAAGCCTTTGTGACCTCATCTACTCCTAATCATCTCCCAAAGGACTACCCATCCACATTCGAACTTGGAGATTAAGTTTCCAACACATGAACTTTGAAGAACAAATTCAAATTGTAGCACAAGACTTTCTCTAAGATGGGTTGTTATGGTTTGTGTCTGTGTGTCCCCCCAAAGCCTCATGCGGTGATGGGGCAGGCTTTTAGAGTTTGATTGATTATGGATGTGAGAGCTGCACCCGCCCTGGGGTGGATAGTTTACATATGTAAGGGAGAACAAGAGGCTGCTTGTGGCCATTTCCTGGCTTTTGTGTTTGTTGCTTTTGCTGTGTTCTGCCGCCATGAGCTGTAGCCCTCTGGCATGTGCCACTCTGCCTTATAACCTGCCAAGTATGGACTGAAACCTCCTCAAACTGTAAGCAAAATAAACCTTTCCTTCCTTAATTTTGGGTGTCAGGTATTTTGTCCCAGCAAAGAGAGAAAAGTAACCAAGACATGGGCCTTTGGCTACCTCTGGTTTTTGCATTTCCCACCCACCCAGGCCACTGTTCTGTTCTCTCTCAGGAATGGGAAGAGCAGAAAGTGGTTGTTTATGTTTACAAGTAAAGATACATTTCCAAAAAATATAATAGATAAAGTAAAAATATGTACCCCAAGTGATTACTGAGAGAACCTGCTGACATATGAACACTAATACAATTAGAAGCTAGATTTTATTTTATTCATTCTTGCTGCTGGAAATGAACTTGTAGATCTGACAAAACTACATATTAAATAGATTGCTTGTCTCCAGCTGGAAATGTATGTCCTCAGCATTCATTATTCATCTACTCATCTACTCATGCACATATGTACATTTGAATATGCATTTATTTATTCATCTGCCCATTCAGCACCTTATACTCTGCTACTATTCTGTATTAGTCATTTCTACTACATCAGAAGAAACCTTGAGACAGACTTGGTACTTGGTCAACCATGCTCCTAAGACTTGTAGGAAACTATGATGGACTACAGAACTCAGCATGAGAGATCAGTAACATAATTTAAGGTGTAAATTGAGACCTGCAGACCTTTTAGGATCTGGCCTTTTTTGCTGTACCATGGTTCACATCTTGTCAGGAGTAGCACTTTGTAAATGGTTGGTCCATCTTGATAAGCCACATGATTGAAATGGACTAGGAGCATCATTATAAGGTAGAAAGGTAGCTTTAGGGGCTGACATTCCAGAAAGATTTATTTATCCTGTTTCCTAGCATTGTGGGTGAGAGGCCACTTCAGAATGCGCTCTAAGAATCATAAGCAAAACTCTCATATGTCCCAAGAAAGAAGGGGCAGCAGGCTGCTACTGGACATAACTTCTTCTCTTAAGAAGCTGCCTCTCTTTTTTCAGCACTGTGCTGGGCTGTGGTTTCCCTGGAACTATTATATCACTGCTCTGGTTTGTACACTCAGACTCTATAGGAAACAGAATTCTCATGGTGGTAAGTTCCCTGAAGTGAAAATAAAATAAGGAGATAGGAGCACCTGTCTCATGGAGTACCAGTTCTGAAGGCAGTGCAAGCTTGTCAATTCCCCACCTCCTGTCAGGCAGCCAGCTCCATGTCACTTGTTCACCCACCATCTCAGATAATGTGAACCCTATAGGCTCCAAGCTGAAGAAAAGTCTATGACAGGCAACTAAGGATTAGCCTCTGCCCCCTGCCTCAGATTGATTGCCTCCACCTTTTTCATAGAGCGAGGCTACTTGGGAACCAGGCAGCATGAATCCGTTGGTTCTAGAACTGGAGCTTTGTAAAGGTGCATATTCCCAGCATGGAGAGCAGTGTAGTGGAGTAGGTCAGAGCAGGGGCTAGACTGTGGGACTGGTGCTCCCCTATGTCAGGATGATAGGATGGGCCCTATCTCTTCACTGGATGGCTTTGTTCTCTCTCCAACTGTAGAGGACAAAATAATATCACATACTGATTCAAGTTATTGTAAAGACCAAGTAAAACAATGTAAAGTCCTAAGATAGTGATCTTTCAAGGCCTGTCCCCTAGTATGGGGATACTTTGGTCCATGAACTTAGTTCTTTCCATGATTCTGGTTGCAAACTAATTACAAGCATATGCAGCCAGAATCATGGGATGAATTCTGCTACTAGAATCCTGGAAAGAATTAAACTTGTGAACAAAGGAACCACTGTACGTTCCTTAGTATTACCACTACACTTACATGTAGTCTACTCGGTAAGTGGGCGTATCTTTGTGAAGCTGCCCATGGCTCTGTGTCTCGATTTTAAAGTGCCAGTGGATTCATGTGTGTTCCCAGAGCTGCTGTCTCCTCACAACGAAGCTCGCTATGTTGGATGACTCAGCCAGCCACTCCCAAAGACAGATGCTTCAATATGTCTTCTCACCCCCAATAAATAGTATGGTCCTTGAGGGAAAAGGTCATTTAATCTTTATTGTGTATCCTTCATAATGCCTGACACGTCCGGTGAATGTTTAATGGAAGAATGAACACACAAATTGACTTGGAAGAGCTCATCCCTCAAGGCCATGAAAGACTCTGAGACTCCCTCCAACCAGCTCTGTGGAAACTGGGTGAGGGCTCTATCTTCCTGCTTCCACCTCCCTCTCCCTCAGGACCTGCAGGATGAGGGTGCAAAATGAATATAGCTTTGTAGATTCCCCTTCTCTGTTCCATTTCTCTCCCTCTCAATCACCTTTTAAAAAGCTCCTTATATCAAAAGAGTTGCCTGAATGTGGATCACGGATGCAGGATTGAAGACACAGGAACTGGGCAGGTAAGAACAGATGTGAGGGCCACTGTCAGGTCTTGGGGAGCTAGAAAGGCTGGCATTGCTAAAGTGACTCCAAGTCCCTTTAAAAATAAATAGCAAGGCATCCAAAGACATGCCTGAGGCAGGTGCTGATTCACTGCACAGCATCTACCTTCTTTGCTCCTGAATGCTCTGCAGATCAGAGTATGGGCCAAGACTGCAGCTTTTCTGGTGATTTGCCACGTGCCCCCAGCAGAGACTGCACAGTGACATTCCTTTGAGGTACAAGGGCCCAGTGCCCTGCTTCAGAGTTGAAATTCAATTTCAGTTTCACACACTACAGCAATATTAGTTCCGCCCTGCCTAACGCTAGGAACTATGTAGAGGGAAAACCATGCAGTGATTGCTCTTCCTCTGGCCACATCTTTTGATCTGCTCTGAGAAAATGGCCTTTCTGCAATTGGTTAACCTCAGAGCCATCACCTTGGTGGTGCAGAAGTCCTTCTGTATCTGCCGTAGAAAAACAAACAGCAAGTTTCAAACAAAAAGCCTACACTACAGAATCAGCAGCTAGGGCTTCTAGTCCTGACTCTGGGCTTCCTTCACATTCCTGGGAAGCCTCACCTACACAGTCAGGAGGACCTCATGAAACAGCACCCTCAGGACTGTTGGCCAGGATAGTAAGTGTGAGAGCCAAGATCCAAATTTAGGTAATTTCAGGCCAAAGTTCACACTCATGAGCTCTTAGAGAACACAAAAAAATAGCATCTATACCTTCTCTCTCTACTTGATTGGTATCCAGTGGGATTTCTCTTTGTTGCCTGTATTCTTCATCAAGTCCAGGACTGTTGACAAGAAAATGATAGAAGCCAGAACAGGA